AAGGATAGCTCAGTCATCTGAAAAACGAACATGTAGGATTCATTTGAAACTTTGTAACTCAAATTGTTGGGCAAGAGACAAATTGTTTTGTAAAGAAATCATAGTGTTCTTGATTGGTCGGAAAAAGTGTGTATTTTATATATTTATTAGCGTATTTATATATGCTTAATTTTATCGCACTTATATCTTTTTCGACTTATTTATTAATTAGATGGATTCAAGTGCTATGATATTTTTATGGTTTATTTTCAGCGCATTGGAGTATTTTGTTAGTGCGACGCATTGGATGGAAGTTGACGTATTAATTATAAGGCCTTCCCAACACTCTTCAATTTGGCACACGAGTGAATAAATTTGAGGCCCAAATTGCATGGTTTTAATTTCGGGAAATTTTTAGTCCTCCTATAAGATATATAAATATTTTCAAATTTACCTTTCATGTGAAAGTATTTTCAATTATGCCTAATGAAACTAATTTATTTATGAGATTGCATCAATAGCAGTTACCATATATATTCAACTTCCATCCCCCTTTTTCTGGACTTAATTAAGAGAGAGAAAAGAAAAATAATAACTGATTCATTTATTAATCCTTAATTCACGCACTTGTACATTGTAATTCAAGCAGCCGCCAGGTAGTATATTTTGAGTTTATGTTAGTATATATTCAGTGTATGTTGCAATTATTACTTGACATACACAAAAAATATACTTCAAATATACTGAAAATGTGTAACAGGTGCAGAAAGCCAGTGACAAAGTGTATAGCATAGAAAGAGAAAAGATACTTCGGATAGAGAGAAAAGTTACCTCGGATATACCCACCAGATAACCAGAGAAAAGTTACTTCTGATATACTCGGATATACCCAACATATACCCCAACTCGGTTTTGTAAATATACCTTCGAATTATATACATTTTCAACGCATATAAGTGTAATAAAAATCATAACTGTTGATATATGTGTTGTGTTCAACAAAAAATCTTCTAATATACTAAACATAAACTATGAATAAACAATGAAAACATAAAAAAATATCCATTCACAAACTAATTTGTACAAACAATATACCACACATAAACTAAGATGTTCAATAACTGCACATATTTCTACGATGTACATATACTGCACATATACTGCGTATACACGCTACATATACCGAAAATGTACAACGAACAATTTGTTAGGGTTTTATATGATATCTAAGTTCCAACAGAAAATGTAAACGTCACAGCCCCTAAATCTTCCCGTCGGCGAACCTCTTCCTCTTCACCTTC